AACTATGCTCAGTGTGTCAGGATGTGCGGACCTCTCCACCTTGTGCCCCATACCCTGGAAATGGGTCACGCGACCCTTTCAGCGTATTCATATTGATTTTTGTCAGAAAGGGAGTGATTTTTTTTTGTGGTGGTTGATAGTTTTTCAAAATGGATAGAGGTTAAGCACATTACCTCAATCACCACAGAGAAAACCATAAATGAGTTGCGTCTTATATTTGCCCAACATGGTTTGCCCGAGGAGTTGGTATCAGATAATGGGCCACAATTTGTTTCAAGTGAGTTTGCTGAGTTTATGTATAAAAATGGCATTAAACATACCCTAACTCCTCCTTATCACCCACAATCAAATGGTGCTGCTGAGAGATCAGTCAGGGTGGTAAAGGAGGCGCTTGTCAAACAAGTTCTAGAGGGAAACAAGGGAAGGTCTATCAAACATAGACTAGCAGACTTCCTCTTGAGATACCGTACCACCCCCCACACAGCACCACAGGTGCTACGCCAGCAGAACTGTTGATGAGACGTAGACTGCGTACTCGTTTAACTCTAGTGAAACCTGATCTAGCCAAAACCGTAGAGAGTAAACAAAATAAGCAGAAGGAATATAAGGATTTAAAGGGTCATCAAGATAGGCTGTTTGCAGAGAATGACATAGTTCGAGTGAGAAATACTCAAGCCCGTCGCAATACTGAGAGGTGGATTCTGGGAAGGGTAGTTAAGGTCTGTGGACCCAGAACATATTTAGTTAAGACTGGCTATAAGACCAGATATGTTCATGTTGATCATTTAATTAAAGCACATGATCAGGTGCCACATGAAACTAGAGAGTTGGACATACCTGTCCCAGAACTGTGTGAGTAACCTACTCTAAGTGTAGATAATAGCCAAGTTTCATCCGGGGTGCCGCAGCCACCAGTCAATTTTTCAGATAAAGATTATGAGCCTAATTCTAGTATTAGTGAAGAGAATGTAAACACACCATCGCCGGTTGTTCTGAGGCGATCAGAGAGAATTAGGAAACCTGTTGACCGACTGAACCTGTAGTGAATGTTATAGCTACTATTGTGTTACTTGTAAGGATATCTTATTTGTAAGGGGAAAGCAGTGTAATAAATTAAGTACCCTCTAGGGTTACTGTGTATGTACCCAGAATACATTGCTGGAATAAAGTTGTGTTGAAGCGGCCATGTTGTTTGACCTCGTGGGTTTATGTCACTAGCAATATATTACACCCACAACACCGGACACAAGCCACTCTGGAACGAAGTAAAGTTTATTGATCGTGACCCTTATTACTACACGCGCAGGGTCAAAGAGGCAATTCATATAAGACTTAACCCTAACAACATAGTGGATAGTGGAATAGAAATTTCAGAAGCGTGGAAACCCACGATAAAAAAAAAACACAACAACAGGAGAACCGTGCGACAGCGGACCGCCGAGGGAGCAAATGATTGAATGAACAGCAAGGATCGAAATGCACCAATCAGAGCTGTTGAATAACAACTAATCACAGAAGAGCATCATGCTTTATGAGATGACACATGACCAGTCGACCTCATCTCCTCATCATTAAACTTGAAAAATGATCCGAAATGCGACGCTGATCGAAAGTCCAAGAACGCCAGTCCATCCATGACAAAGTTATGGCACACAGGTATCAATCCACCCGTTTTTAGTAGATCAATAATAAGAATACCGTTTCTACACTGACCAGCCTGTTCGGGTTCGACTCCCGGACAAGCCGGTTGTGGGCTCTTTTGGTCAAAACCATTTGAAAGTTGTCAAACGTCCCCTGAAAATTGTATGGAAATTGTATTATCATACGTTGTGTAATTCATATATATTCATTTCCTTGTTCTTCAAGAGCCCTAAACCTTCGCGTTTTTTCTTATTTCAATGAAAGCTTTCGTGTATTTTAATTATGAAAATATTTCCTATCGAAGACTCGCCTCATGCTTCTGAAAGACAGGAAATGGCTGAACACGGGAGGTGAAATGTCTTTTGTAAATCAAAATCAATTTCCATGCATCTTACTTTTTTTTCGGCGAGCTCAAGGATCAGTTATTGTCTATTAGGAGGGGGGGAAGGGGCAGAGAATATTTGAGGATCATATGGTTTTTAGGGGGGTGGAGGGGGGATCAGGAAGGCTGTATTCTGGGTTGTGGTTTCTGGTTAAATGCGTATCTCCGCACTTCGTTTCGTTTATGTGTTTCAGGATTGACCCCAATGAGCAGATTTTACTATCCTAACGTTGTGGGAAAAGGACAAGAAGTTAAAATGCAGCGGCGGGGTCCAGTTTTGACGCCAACTGTTGTTTTAACATCAAACATGTCGAAATTAAGTCTAAGCATTTCAGGGGCAAGAGGCAATCTGTGCTCTGTGAGGCCCAGGGTAGCAGGGTAGTTTCTGTAGTGTAGTGGTTATCACATCCGCCTAACACGCGTAAGGTCGCAGGTTCGAGCCCTGCCAGAAACATAGTGAATACTTTTTTTATGCTTTGTTTTAACGTAGGATATCTCTCAGCAGATTAACCAATGTGTATAATCTATGTTATCGTATATTTTGTTTTTAGCTTTAGTTATCTTAAAAAGTTGTACGCTTTTGAAACATCGAGACTTAGTGGCTTGCGTAGTTGCTTATATTTTCTGTTGGACAACATGGTTGTGACAGCGCAAAGCACACGACAAGGGTACCAGTGTTTTTTGACACAGGAAATGGGACAATTTATGAAAGTATATTAAATAAAATTATGAAAAAAAGAGAACCGAAAGGCACCGATGGGATTTGAACCCATGACCTCCTGTTTACTAGACAGGCGCTCTAACCACCTGAGCTACGGCGTCTCGCTTGGAGATGGACAAACTGGTGTTGTAGAGGGGTTAATTTTTGAGATTGAGCAGGCCAAACAGTTAAGAAGTTTTTTGTGCGTTTGACAAAAAAAGCGAGGAATGAGAGGTTGACATAGGAAGGCAATGAGATAAATATGTCTTAATTCTGTTAGGACATGCTTCCTAAAAGCTGCCTTCAAAACGTGAGTGGCAACTGGTGCTTGTCGTTGTTGGATGATAGGGAGCTTCTTACAGTTCTTAAACCCAAAGCACAGTCCAGGAATCATTACTTTATGGCAAAGGCAGCGAAAAAATTGAGGAATGTACTTTACAACCGTCTGTAAACTTCAGGGTATCATACACCTAAACAAATTCCTGACTTAGTATACAAAATACGAAACTGTGGAAAATGTTCTGACCCCTTATTAATACTAACAACCTATCCCAGAGTGATCTAAACGAAAGCCGCGGTGGAACTGGGATTAGATGAAACTTTTATGATGAACGACTTCCCTTCTCTTGCTATCGATTTTATTCCAGGAATTGATAAATATAGAATTGATACATTTATCTTTTTTCTTAAGACTCTAAACATTTAAGATTTAGCAATAGTATAAACACAATATATACCCAATATTATATGAACGAATTCCCTTCTCTTGCAATCGATTGATACCGAAAATTGATAGGTATAAAATTGATAGATTCGTCATTTTTCTGAAGACTCTAAACATCTAAGATTTAGCAAACACAATATACTCCTCAACGGCCATACATATTTAGTTGTCTCCGTGGCGCAATCGGTTAGCGCGTTCGGCTGTTAAGCCCACCCGGGGACGGTATTTTACACCTGCACCTCCTACCATTTTGCTTTTACAAAAGTAGACTGGAATACCCCAGTTTGCATAATTTGAAGGGTGGGCTTCATTTCCTGTCTGTCTTCATTACCTTTCCTTCAGTGTGAGATGTACGCACCCTAACTGTCACTTGGAGAAACTTGTTTCATTGGTGAGATTGACGGTGAAGCGGGTTTCTGCCTGACGTTGAGGTTGGCTCGCACAGCTCCTCTTTCAAATGCAACTACCTTACCAGGAGCTAGGTAAACTTTGAGAAGCCGTTCGCCGTGGTAATGCTTCCTGACAATATCAGATGGCCGACCTTAGATCTTAGAATTTGGTCATGTTTTTAGAGTTCTGGTTCTTTCTTTAGAGCCTCCTGTCCGAGGCTCTCTTCGAGCTCTGACTCCTGTGTAGGATGAAGCTCTCACGGTTTTGAGTGACAATTTGTGCATTCCACTAATCGTCTTTGGATTTTTGCAGTCTTAAGGTTGTCATTTAGACTTGCACAATGTTCCGAAGTGCGACCATGATCAAAACGCTAGCAACACTAGTCTGTTCATGACGCAGGTGTTAATCCACCCGCTTTAATAACAGCAATGAATAAAATACCCTTCCTAAACCACATTTGACATCTCCGGCCTGTTGGTTTCTCGCTTTGGGTGCGAGAGGTCCCGGGTTCGACTTCTGGACAGTCCCGATAGTCCCTCCTTTTGGAGAACCTTCCCGAAATTAACAGACCGGTAAGTCAAACTTCCCTTGGATAACTTTATGACGACGGCAATACCATAAACGATAGATCTCATTTTGTTTTCCGTTTCTGGTTCCTCACAAGCCCTTAATGTACCACTGAATTTTTTTATTTCAGGGAGAGCTCCCATTACTTCTCCTTTTTTTCTGTTAAGAGTACCGAAATTGGAACATTACCTTAATTAATTTCGTAGAAAAGGTTGTGGTTGTTCATCGTGGTGAATAGCAATAAAAGATAAGTTTTTTGTTTGTCTCACATCGCGACATTTCGACTGCATACTGCTAGTCTTCTTCAGGCAAAACCAAACTACAGTGTCGAGCCCGCCAACGAGTTCAAAGCTACTGCGGTTTTACCTTATGTCAAAGGTCTGTCCAGACAGCTTCGCCGTTGCCTACAACAACAAGACGTACGCGCTGTTTTCATGTCGGAGGCTACGCTAAGATCTCAGTTAGTACGACCAAAAGACGCTGTCGACCCGGTTAAACAGGATGGCGTAGTTTACAGGATTCTCTGTGAATGCGGCAAGGTGTACATCGGAGAGACTGGAAGACCTATGCAAGACAGAATTAAGGAGCACGATTGAGACATTCGACTCGCCCGTACCGAGACCTCCGCCGTTTCAGAGCATGCCCACAACACCGGACACAAGCCACTCTGGAACGAAGTAAAGTTTATTGATCGTGACCCTTATTACTACACGCACAGGGTCAAAGAGGCAATTCATATAAGACTTCACCCTAACAACATCAACAGGGATAGTGGAATAGAAATTCTAAAGCGTGGATGCTCACAATCAAAAAACACAACAACAGGAGAGCCGTGAGACAGCGGACCGCCGAAGGCGCAAATCACTCAGTGAACAGCCAGGATCGAAATGCACTAATCAGAGCTGTTGAATAACAACTAATCACAGCAGAGCATCATGCTTCATGAGATGACGCATGACCAGTCGACCTCATCGCCTAAAGAAGACTAGCAGTACGCAGTCCAAACGTGGCAATCTACATCACACGTGACTAGATCGTGAGACAAACGACAAAGTTATCTTTTATTTTTATTACCTTAAGTCAGTTTCTCGGTTGTTAATAACATCCCTTGATTTAAACGCAGGCAAATCTAAAAGAATTCCGAAGGGCAGTTATTTTTGCTTTTTTCCGAATTTAGTTGCATTAACTCTGATAACGATACTCTACAGGCCATATTAAATTAGATTCAAGCGTTTAATATATCATATGTAACAGGTTTTTGTAGTGTAGTGGTTATAACGTCCGCCTCACACGCGGAAGGTCGCAGGTTCGAGCCCTGCCAGAAACATACTTTTAGAAAAACTTTGAAGCAAGAGAATAAATGCTTTAGTTTTACCTCGACAAAAAATGTAACACATTTCAGATGTTTGTTCTTCCCTTCTGTTTATTCATTATAGAAATCTTCCCTTTCCACATATTTGCCTCTCTGAATATGGTGAGGCAGTAGTCATACTATTGTTCAGCTCAGGTTGTAGAAACAGAAAAATGAAATAATGGAACAAGAAGCGTTAACATATATATGATACGATCATACTCCATCATGGTTTGGTGACTTTTGATAACAATGGCTAATTCTTTTTTTAAAGAAATTAAACTCTCAAAAGAAACTCACGAAGACTCTTTAAGGCTCTTAAAGAAACTCTTAAAAAGTCGGTAAAGCAAGCTTAAAACGACAGAGAACGCCGGAAACCACAACGGACAGAAAAGATGTGAGTAAATTCTATTGATTTAACGTGTAAAATGTTCATATTTCGAAATATTTATCGTTGTAAATCGACCATATTTCGTTCCCTATGCTAATCCTTATAGCATGTTTAAATTATCAACGGTTTCTCCGTAAGTTAACACCGAGTCACACAACATGTAACGCTTACATGAATCAGTCGCTTGCTTTTTATCGAGACGTGAGCTTGGGACGCCTTTGTTCATGTGTATCTGCACTCGAACTATCTCAAGAAGCCTTGCATCTCTCTGCTGTTTTTCTTTCCATATATTAACTAGTTAAGTTAAAAATTAACCAGGTGCTAATCTTGATTGGTCGATGTGCTCTCGTGGGGAGTCTTAGTTCGCGGTAAATTCAAACTAAAAATAGACTTGTCTGTGAAAATGCCATGACAAAAATATAGAGCAGTTGAAGGCTCCAAGTAATGGGCTCCTGACTCCTCTTATGCCTGAGGATACGCCCCAAGTTAAACAAGTGCTCAATTAAACTTGAAAAATGATCCGAAATGCGACGCTGATCGAAAGTCCAGGAACGCCAGTCCATCCATGACAAAGTTATGGCACACAGGTATCAATCCACCCGTTTTAGTAGATCAATAATAAAAATACCGTTTCTACACTGACCGGCCTGTTGGTCTAGTGGCATGAACTTGCTTAGGGTGTGAGAGGTCCCGGGTTCGACTCCCGGACAGGCCCGGTTGTGGGCTCTTTTGGTCAAAACCATTTGGAAGTTGTCAAACTTTGCCTGAATAATGTAAGGAAGTTGTATTACCATACGTTGTGTAATTCATATGTATTCATTTCCTTGTTCTTCAAGAGCCCTAAACATTCGCGTTTTTTCTTTTTTCAATGAAAGCTTTCGTGTATTTTAGTTATGAAAATATTTCCTATCGATGACTCGCCTTATGCTTCTGAAAGACAGGAAATGGCTGAACACAGGAGGTGAAATGTCTTTTGTAAATCAAAATCAATTTCCATGCATCTTACTTTTTTTTCGGTGAGCTCAAGGATCAGTTATTGTCTATGAGGGAGGGGGGGGGAGGGGCAGAGAATATTTGAGGATCATATGGTTTTTAGGGAGGGCGGAGGGTGGATTAGAAAGGCTGTATTCCGGGTTGTGGTTTCTGGTTAAATGCGTATCTCCGCACTTAAGGACAACAAGTTAAAATGCAGCGGCGGGGTCCAGTTTTGACGCCAACTGTTGTTTTAACATCAAACATGTCAAAATTAAGTCTATGCATTTCAGGGGCTAGAGATAATAGCAGGGTAGTTTCTGTAGTGTAGTGGTTATAACATCCGCCTAACATGCGGAAGGTCGCATAGTTCGAGCCCTGCCAGACACATAGTGAATACCTTTTGTAGTCACCTTTTGTCCTTCTTTTATAAAGGCTTATTATGTCGCAATGCGTGGCTCATTTTTTCTTACGCTTTGTTTTAACGTAGGATATCTCTCAGCAGATTAAGCAATATATATAATCTATGTTATCGTTTATTTTGTTTTAGCTTTAGTTATCTTAAAAAGTTCTACGTTTTTGAAACATCGAGACTTAGTGGCTTGCGTGGTTGCTTATATTTCCTGTTGGACAACATGGTTGTGACAGCCCAAAAGCACACGACAAGGGTACATTGTCCATGCACAGATATTTGACTGCTGTGTGCTCTGTTTTACTCTGGTTTGAGTGCAAGCATAATTATGAGCCAGAATCTGTTACGTCACCGGTCAGCGGACAGACTACTGAGCAATAATCAAAATGGCCAGGTCTTTTGTTATACTCATTATAAGTGTAAGCATTACTCATCTTTAAGCGAACTTCGAATAACAATACAATCTTAGGCGTGAATTGCCTCCTACATAAAGAGGACAAAACTTAAGAGATGAAGCTGTGATCTTCTGCGTGTTTGATGTATGTAATAATAAGGGAATTATCCGATTCCAGACAACAAACTTGGACTGAGACAGAATTAAGGAAATCAGTGCGTTCGCTAAAAAAACACTTAAAATGATTTAATTCCTACAGAGGGCATCCTCTTCAGCCAGGTTAGTCTTGGCAACAGAAAGGACTAAAGACGTATCACATATTAATAATTCCACTTATTCACAAAATAGTATTTGCATCACATATAGTGTGACATCCTCGGTAGTATAGTGGTGAGTATCCCCGCCTGTCACGCGGGAGACCGGGGTTCGATTCCCCGCCGGGGAGACGCGACCGCTTTTGTGCATAACCATATTTTCCAAATATCAACTTTTCCCTACAGGCTAAAAGTTTTGAAATTAGTTTTCTTTAATTCCGAAATCAACTCGTTTTTTCATGAACATAAGGAAGCGATAACAAACAGTGAGCTACACTAGAGGAACTACAAAAGCTTGATACGCGGAAGGTTGCGGGTTCGAGCCATGCCATGGAGTAAATTTGATCCAGGTTCTGCTATCGATCGGATTCCTTTTGAGCTGATAGAGAGAGGGTTTAAAGCTGTTTATGTAATAAAAAAATTGTTCTTCGTCCTATTAAGTTTCCCTCAGAGAAAGATGTTTTTCTTTTGTCTTGTCTCAAGCTTAGGAAAACGGAAAAGTTCTGAGTCCTCATGAGAAGCTAAACCTTAGATCTTCGGATTCCGCCCTCCAATTCTCTAGCCCTGAGCCACAATGACACAACGCTGCACTGGGTCATCGCTAGGTCTGCATGTGACATGTGTCCTGCATACTGCTAAGATTAACAATGTCGAAAGGGTCCTGTGTGTAAATAGAATAAGAAAGATAGTAAATACTAAGTTTGGTGGTGAGATGGAGAAATTTGTTTTTTTTTTAGCTTTTGGACAAAGGGAAAGTTCTGAGTAACCTTGAGGAATTGAGTTTCCCTTGTTTAAGCTCGGCTACTTGCCACTAGTTTTCTGTTGCCTTGTGTTTGAGAAGATTCAGGCAGTTGTTGTTGTTTTTTTTAACTCGATGTTGAACGTTTGTGATTTTCTGTTTTTTTCTGACGCAGTGAGCTTTATTTCGGTCTTCATTATTTTCGAACCACTCTTGTTACCAGTGTTTTTGGACACAGGAAACGGGACAATTTATGAAAGTATATTGGATAAAATTATGACAAAAAGAAAAACGAAAGGCACGGGTGGGATTTGAACCCATGACGTCCTGTTTACTAGACAGGCGCGCTAACCACCTGAGCTAGAAGGGTTAATTCTTGAGATGGAGCCGGCCAAACAGCTAAGAAGTTTTCTGTGCGTATGACAAAAAACCGAGGAATGCGAGGCTGATATAGCAAGGCAATGATATAAAAATGTCTTAATTCTGTTTGGACATACTTGCTAAAAGCTGCCTTCAAAACGTGAGTGGCAACTGGTGCTTGTCGTTGTTGGATGATAGAGAGCTTCATACAGTTCTTAAACCCAAAACACAGTCCAGGGATCATTACTTCAGTTATGGCAAAGGCAGCGAAAAAATTGAGGAATGTAGTTTACAACCGTCTGTAAACTTCAAGGTATCATACACCTAAACAAATTACGAACAAAATACGAAACTGTGGTAATGTTCTGACCCCCTATTGATACTAACAACCTATCCCAGAGTGAACTACTCGAAAGCCGCGGTGGAACTGGGATTAGATGAAACTTTTATGATGAACGATTTCCCTCCTTTGCTATCGATTAATACTGAAAATTGATAATTATAAAACTGGTACATTGATCATTTTTCTAAAGACTCTAAACATCTAAGATTTAGCAAACACAATCTACTCCTTAATGGTAACACACATTCGGTCGTCTCCGTGGCGCAATCGGTTAGCGCGTTCGGCTGTTAACCGAAAGGTTGGTGGTTCAAGCCCACCCGGGGACGATATTTTACACCTCAGCCAACCCTTTTGTTTTCTTGTTGCATGTTTTATATGGCCCATTTCTCGGAAAAAATTTAACCGTTCTGTTAGCTGTAACAGAGTTACTAGCTGTGGCACTCAGGTGCTCACGTGTTGGAAATCAAGTGCAGTCACGCCTTTACCATTAAGCCGAAAAAGACAAAAGTAGACTGGAATACTCCAGTTTTCATAATTTGAAGGCTGGGCTTCATTTCCTATCTGTCTTCATTATTTGTCCTTTAGTGTGAGATGTACGCACCATCACTGTCATTTGTTTGAAGAAGCTTGTTTCATTGGTGAAATTGATGGTGGAGCAGTGGTGACTTATTTGCGGGTTTCTGCCTGACATTGAGGTTGGCTCGCACAGCTCCTCTTTCAAATGCAACTACCTTACCAGGAGCTAGGTAAACTTTCAGAAGCCGTTCGCTGTGATAATACTTCCTGTAATGTACACTCCTTGTAAACCGACTGAGGTTGTCATTTAGACTTGAACAATTTTCCGAAGTGCGACCAGGATCAAAACACCAGTAACTCTAGTCTGTTCATGACGCAGGTGTTAATCCACCCGCTTTAATAAGAGCAATGAAAAAAATACCCTTCCTAAACCATATTTGACATCTCCGGCCTGTTGGTCTAGTGGCATGATTCTTGCTTTGGGTGCGAGAGGTCCCGGGTTCGACTCCCGGACAGGGCCTATAGTCCCTCCAGAAATTAACAGACCAGAGAGTCAAACTTCCGTTGGATAAATTTATGACGACGGCAATACCATAAAAGATAGATCTCATTTTGTTTTCCGTTTCTGGTTCCTCACAAGCCCTTAACGTACCACTGAATTTTGTTTTTTCAAGGAGAGCTCCCATTACTTCTGTTTTTTTTTCTGTTAAGAGTACCAAACTTGGAACATTATCTTAATTCATTTCGTTGAAAAGGTTGTGGTTATTCATCGTGTTTTTCGTTTGTCTCACGACGTAGTCACGTGTGATGTAGATCGCGGCGTTTCGACTGCATACTGCTTGTCTTCTTCAGGCAAAACCAAACAACAGTGCCGAACCCGCCAACGAGTTACTACTACTGCGGTTTTGCCTTATGTCAAAGGTCTGTCCTAACAGCTTCGTCGTTGCCTACAACAACAAGGCGTACGCGCTGTTTTCAAGTCTGAGACTACGCTAAGATCTCAGTTAGTACGACCGAAAGATGCTGTCGACCCGGCTAAACAAGATGGCGTAGTTTATAGGATTCCCTGTAAATGCGGCAAGGTGTACATCGGAGAGACTGAAAGACCTATGCAAGACAGAATTAAGGAGACATTCGACTCGCCCGTGTAACACCGGTCTCAAGCCGCTCTGGAACAAAGTAAAGTTTATTGATCGTGACCCTTATTACTAGACGCGCAGGGTCAAAGAGGCAATTCATGTAAGACTTCACCCTAACAACATCAGCAGGGATAGTGGAATAGAAATTCCAGAAGCGTGGATGCCCACGACAAAAACAACAACAACAACAACAGGAGAGCCGTGCGACAACGGACCGACAAGAGAGCAAATCACTGAGTGAACAGCAAGGATCGAAATGCACCAATCAGAGCTGTTGAATAACAACTAATCATAGCAGAGCATCGCTGTGATTAGTTGTTCATCATCGTCGCCTGAAGAAGACTAGCAGTATGCAGTCGAAACGTGGCGATCTACATCACACGTGACTACGTCGTGAGACAAACGAAAAACTTATCTTTTATTTTTATCACCCTAACTCAGTTTCTGGGTTGTTAATAACATCCCTTGATTTAAACGCAGGCGAATCTAAAAGAATCCGGAAGGGCGGTTATTTTCGCTTTTTTCCGAATTTAGTTGTGTTAAATCTGATAACGATACTCTACAGGCCACATTAAAGTAGATTCAAGTGTTTAACATAACATAAATAGCGGGTTTCTGTAGTGTAGTGGTTATCACATCCGCCTCACACGCGGAAGGTCGCAGGTTCGAGCCCTACCAGAAACATATTTGTAGAAAAACTTTGAAGCAAGAGAGTCCTTATATATAAATACTTATGTACTAGTTTTACCTCGACCAAGAATGTTACACATTTCAGATGTTTGTTCTTCCCTCCTGTTTATTCATTATAGAAATCTTCACTTTCCACTTATTTGCCTCCGTGAATATGGTGAGGCAGTAGTCATACTATTGTTCAGGTCAGGTTGTAGAAACAGAAAAATGAAATAATGGAACAAGAAGCGTTAACATATGTATGATACGACCATACTCCATCATGGTTTGGTGACTTTTGATAACAATGGCTAATTCTTTTTTTTAAAGAAATTAAACTCTTAAAAGAAACTCACAAAGAGTCGTCAAGGCTCTTAAAGAAACTCTTAAAAAAGTCGGTAAAGCAAGCTTAAAACGGCAGAGAACGCCGGAAACCACAAGGGACAGAAAAGATGTGAGTAAATTCTATTGATTTAACGTGTAAAATGTTCATATTTCGAAATATTTATCGTTGTAAATCGAGCATATTTCGTTCCCTATGCTACTCCTTATAGCATGTTCAAATTATCAACTGTTCCTCCGTAAGTTAACACCGAGTCACACAACATGTTACGCTTACATGAATTAATCGTTTGCTTTTATCGAGATGTGAGCTTGGGACACCTTTGTTCATGTGAATCTGCACTCGAACTATCGCAAGAGGCCTTGCATCTCTCTGCTGTTTTTCTTTCCATATATTAACGAGTAAAGTTAGAAATTAACCAGGCGCTAATCTTGATTGGTCGATGTGCTCTCGTGGGGAGTCCTAGTTCGCAGTAAATTCGAACTGAAAATAGACTTGTCTGTGAAAACGCCGTGACAAAAATATGGAGCAGTTGAAGGCTCCAAGCAATGGGTTCCTGACTCCTCTTATGCCTGAGGATACGCCCCCAAGTTAAACAAGTGCTCAATCAGACTTGAAAAATGATCAGAAATGCGACTCTGATCGAAAGTCAAGGAACACCAGTCCATCCATAACAAAGTTATGGCACACAGGTATCACTCTACCTGTTTCAGTAGAATAATAATAAAAATACCCTTTCTAGAGAATATTTGAGGATCATATGGTTTTTTTTTGGGGGTGGGGGGGGGGGGGCGGAGGGGGGGATCAGAAAGGCTGTATTCCGGGTTGCAGTTTCTTGTTAAATGCGTATCTCCGCACTTTGTTTCGTTTTTATGTTTCAGGAAAGACCCCAATGAGCAGATTTTACTATCCTAACGTTGTGTAAAAAGGGCAACAAGTTAAATGTAGTGGCGGGGTCCAGTTTTTACGCCAACTGTTGTTTTAACATCAAACACGTCGAAATTAATTCTATGCATTTCAGGGGCTAGAGAAAATGTGTGCCATGTGAGGACGAATGGTATCAGGGTGGTTTCTGTAGTGTAGTGGTTATCACATCCGCTTAACACGCGGAAGGTCGCAGGTTCGAGCCCTGCCAGAAACATAGTGAATACTTTGTGTAGTCGCCTTTTGTCCTTCTTTTATAAAGGCTTATTATGTCGCAACATATCATATCTCTTAGCAGATTAACAAATATAATCTATGTTCCTGTATATTTTGTTTTTAGCTTTAGTTATCTAAAAAAGTTCTACGCTTTTGAAACATCGAGACTTAGTGGCTTGCGTGGTTGCTTATATTTCTTTTGGATAACATGGTTGTGACATCGCAAAGCACACGACAAGGCTACGTTGTCCATGCACAGATGTTTGACCACTGTGTGCTCTGTTCTACTCTGGTTTGAGTGCAAGCATAATTGTGAGCCAAAATCTGTTACGTTACCGGTCAGCGGAAAGACTACTAAGCAATAATCAAAATGGCCACTTCTTTTGTTATACTCATTAAAAGTGTAAGCATTACTCATCTTTAAGCGAACTTCGAATAACAATACAATCTTAGGCGTGAATTGCCTCCTACAAAAAGAGGGCAAAACACTCACAGACCTACTACTACTACCGAAGCTAACGACAACGTAACTCATACGACCACAGCTACTGTACCATACATAAAGGGCATATCTGAGAACATCTCACGCATCCTACAACCATTCAATATCCGTGTCGCTCACAAACCTATTACCACACTTCGTCAGTTACTGACTAACATCCAAGACAGAGACGAACCGAGGAACAGACAAGGAGCAGTGCAGTATATAAGATCAATTGCTCCGACTGCCACGCCTCCTACATCGGTGAGACTGGCAAAAACCTTACAACTAGACTGACTGAACACAAACGAGCGACGAGGAAAGGCGATGCCAACAATCATATTGCTGAACATCACCGACTTACAAACCACACTATTGACTGGGACTCTGCGCAATGCCTAACCTACAGCACCAACTACTTTCAACGACTGACCCTGGAAAGCTGGTTTACTAACTTGGAACAGACTCCCCTCAACAGGTGTCAACCACTACCGGTACTATACAAACGACTCATCCACCACATTAACATTACAAACGAACCGAACAGAACGACCTAACTTCACTAACGGATCCAAACCGACCAATCACGACTGACCTACGCCACTTGTGTCTTACAGCCAATAACATCGCGGCAAAACTGACCAATCAGTGTACAAAAACCGGACTAAGTACATTCGACTGAGAAAAACCTTTCACTTGACTCTGATGATGACTTCTACTCATGTTGTCGAAACGTCAGTCACCACTACCGACAACAGTCCTTCTCAGGACTACACTCACCCGGACGATCAAACTACACTATTACATGTTACCTCCGGGTTCAAACCATTTACTGTATAATGAAGGAATTATCCGATTCCAGACAACAAACTTGGACTGAGACAGAATTAAGGAAATCAGAGCGCAGGCTAAAAAAAAACATAAATTAATTTAGTTCCTACAGAGGGCACCCTCTTTAGTCAGGTAAGTCTTGGCAACAGAAAGGACTAAACACGTATCCATAAAACCACCTATTAACAAAATAGTATTTACACTATATACATAGCGACATCCTCGGTAGTATAGTGGTAAGTATCCCCGCCTATCACGCGGGAGACTGGGGTTTGATTCCCCGCCGGGGAGACGCGCATCCTTTTTGTGTTTAACCGTATTTTCCGAATACCAACTTTTCCCTACAGGCTAATTCCGAAATCAACTTGTTTTTTCATGAACATAAGAAAGCGATATCAACAAACAGTGAGCTACAGTAGAGGAATTACAAAAGATTACGCAGTGCTGTCAACACGAGAATCTCTTTCGCGCCATATTAACGTCACCGAATTGATATCTATGATAGGAGATCATTAAATCTGGCTCCTACTGGGCTTTTTCGAATTGAGTTATGGTTAAATATGATAGCGATACTGAACAGGCCATATTGAAATAGCTTCGAAAACTTAAATGGAATATGTGCGTTTGGCTGCCGAAGGAAAGAGGTTGCACGTCAGCCTGATACATGGAAGGTCGCAGGCTCGAGCCATGCCAGAAACAATTTTTTCCCGAAAAAGAATTTTTTTTAAAGCAATAGAGTCTTAATAAATGCTTCAATTCATAAAAAAAATGTAGCCAAGAGAGTTTATCCTCTCTTGATGTACTTACTTCAGATCATAAGCGGACGGGTGTAGCATTTCACTATGGTATCACTAGCGATCCTCTGAGGATAAACTTTATTTCCCCCTTGCAGCAATAAAAATTGGAGTAAATTTGATCCAGGTTGTGCTATCGATCGGATCCTTTTTGAGCTTGTAGAGAGAGAGTTTAAAGCTGTTTATGTAATAATTAAATTCTTCGTGTTGATCGATGTAGATCGCGACATTTCGACTGCATACTGCTAGTCTTCTTCAGGCAAAACCAAACAACAGTGCCGAACCCGCCAACGAGTTCAAAGCTACTGCGGTTTTGCCTTATTTCAAAGATCTGTCCGGACAGCTTCGACGTTGCCTACAAGAACAAGGCGTACGCGCTGTTTTCATGTCGGAGGCGACGCTAAGATCTCACGGTTAGTACGACCAAAAGACGCTGTCGACCTGGCTAAACAGGATGGCGTAGTTTACAGGATTCCCTGTGAATGCGGCAAGGTGTATATCGGAGAGACTGGAAGACCTATGCAAGACAGAATTAAGGAGCACGATCGAGACATTCGACTCGCCCGTACCGAGACCTCCGCCGTTTCAGAGCATGCCCACAACACCGGACACAAGCCACTCTGGAACGAAGTAAAGTTTATTGATCGTGACCCTTATTACTACACGCACAGGGTCAAAGAGGCAATTAATATAAGACTTCACCCTAACAACATAGTGGATAGTGGAATAGAAATTTCAGAAGCGTCGAAACACACGATAAAAAAAGACACAACAACAGGAGAGCCGTGCGACAGCGGACCGCCGAGGGAGCAAATCATTGAGTGAACAGCAAGGATCATAATGCACCAATCAGAGCTGTTTAATAACAACTAATCACAGTAGAGCATCATGCTTTATGAGATGACGCATGACCAGTC